TATGCCGTCATGTCTGAGGTCAAGTGAGAGACAACGAAACGAGCCGGACGTCGCGTGGTCCGTAAAAAGGAGCGAAGCCGCGCTCCTGGGTCGCACTATCTACAAGCATCGCTCCGTGTGAGGGCAGGACCGCGGCTGTCTGACTTTTCAATCCTGCCCGTGTCTGAGCCGTACTGCTCGGGCGCGTTTGCGGAAAATGCCAGTGCTTGCCCTTCGTCGTCGCAAGTCCGAGCAATTGACCCACTGACTGGACGGCCATTGATAAGTCAGAGCCTACCCTGGATTTGAGCGCGAGTCCCTCATATTAACTGGACCGTTACGTACTTAATCGCACCGCCAGCGGGCCAACAACAGTCACCCGTCAACCGCGCACGCATGCGGTGTACATAGCGCCGCGGTCATGCCCGGGTCTGCTGGCGATACGACGGGCTAGGTGCAGGGAGGGCTGCTGGGCCGACACCGACGACCAATCGGACACTCCCTTGGATGCCAGGCCAAAAAATAAGAAACAAACCAAAGAAAGAGTAAGCAAAACAAAAACAAGAGAAAAAACAGTGCAACAGAAAGCATGATCGCGACGAATGGATTCGTATCAATGTAAATGGCCTCGACCCGCGCGCGTCCGTGGTCTCACGTCCGCACGTGGTTTAAGCGAGTTCAATCCCCCCATGTTCGGCGTGTAGCGCCACCTCGCAGCTTGCTGACGGGTCGTGGCGCTGGGATCGCTCGTCCGTCGTAACCGTAAAGTGCTATCCTCTGCCGGCGGGTCGCGGGCGCTAGACCCCTCGTCCGTCCGCACCGTAAGGTACTGTCCTCTGCTGGCGGGTCGCAGGTGCCAGTGCCGCCATGCGCGCCGTTGGGTGCTGCCCTCTGCCCGGGATGTCCGATATCCGCCGGTAGATGGCGTCTGTGTCGTCTTCCAAACGCTGCCCCGATCGGCGCCTTGCGAGTGCCCTCCTCTGGTCTCGCGCTATCACGCACGGTCTCTCGAGACATAGCGGGTTCGGTACACCTCGCCGCGATGTCTCGGCACCCATGGCGGGCAATCTCGCTCCGACCGCTCGCTTCAGGCGGTCGGAGGGAGGTTGGTTGATTCGGAAAAATCGACACCGTACTCTCTCGTGCCGGGCCTCCGGCGTCTGTAGCAGATCCCTCCAGGACGGGAGAGGCCCTTGCCAGGCGAGCATGGACACCGTGCACTGACCAGTCAGTCAATCGAGCCAGGCCAAGCAACACGAAGAGAAAAGTAGGAAACTGGAATTACACGCTCTCGTTAAAAAATCCGTGCGTACGCGCTGAGCGGAGCTAGACAGTACCGAGTCAAACAAGAATATTAACAGACAAAAATTACACACTCACCGATACCATGAAAAATCACCTAGTCAGCTGGGCCGGACGAGCGATAAGCAATGGAGGAGGACAGCGCGCGGATGATGAAATGCGTGCAAGCGCTCCGGACGGGACTCGGCAAGACCGTTTCACCGCCACGCCCCCCCCCCCCCCCAAAGAAAAAGCAAAGGGAGGGAACAAAAGCAAACGATTAACTTAACGGAAAAGGAGGCTAAGCATGCACGAACGTCATATGACTAACCAGTCAATCGGCCTGGGCAAAGCAACTGATAACGAGTGGTGAGAAGACAGCGTGATCGTCAGTCCGTCCCTGCATGTGCCAAAGTCAGGGCTTAAAATTAAATTAAAGTTAAATTAAAAAGGAATAAAAAACAGACCGTCCAACCAGCCAGCAGACTTCCGCCACAGCCGAAGGACACCTTCATGGATGTACCGGCGTGGTCGGCACGCCGTGCCTGGCCGCGACGTGGGATTGGCGAGGGACATGATGAGCCGCTGCGCCTCCATGTGGCTGCCTCCAACGGCAAAATCGAGACAGCCTCGGCGCCGGCTATCGAGCCAGCCGTCGTGCCGAAGCGCACGTCAACGCCCTCGAACACCGTGCGATTGCCACTGGACAATCGGCAATCGTTGAACTGGACGGCACGACTTGGGTGGTGGGTTCAGGGTACACGCAACAAGCTATGCTTGGCAGGTACTCTGAACCAGAAGTCACCGATGCAAACCATACGGAATAGATTTATAAAAAATAATTTGATGATAAGAACAAACTTCTAACATCACCCTGTGCACTTATTGTTGCTGGCAACAGATAACACAAAAAACGTTTTCCGGGATTTTATTTCTATTACAGATAATGCTCTGGACGTGAGCGTTACAAAAGGATTGCTTTTTGCGACTCGTAGGGACTGGTCTTTACGGAACACACCGTCCTGCTTCAGGATCTTGCACGCCTTTTGAGCGTAGGTGAGGGCACCATAGCTACGGTCGAGGGCGGCGGTAGCCATGGCCACAACGGCGGCGACAAGCATCTGGACCAGCGGTAACTCTCAGTGTCATAATGTGCTGGCATTGATATTTGTTTGTCAGTATTTTTGACATTTTGGAACCTAACGACTGGACACATTCTGGAAGCACGTTTGTGTTTGGGCAAAACAAATGTTTAAATTGTGCATGCCGTAACTGCACTGCAACACAAATATCCGGACCTAGCGGTAGAGCAGATCACTGAAACGATCACTTGATGCTATTGCATACATGCAAGTCACTCTCTGGTCAGAGCACGCTTATTCAACAACTTCATGTCTGTTTGTGTGACGGGTCTGTGTGTTGACTGACGCCACCGATCTTACTCCATGGTAAGAACACTGAGTCGGGACTCGCATACCCCATCCATGGCCATCACAGGTCACCATGGTCGGCCGCACTTGTCAGGGCGCGGCAAGGGACCACGACCTCTGCTTCTGTCATTGTACATATGTCTCTGTGACCCGCGAACCCTTACTTCTTTAAACTTTCAACAATTTGGGATTTTCTCACAAATAGTCCATACATACTCTGACAGAACGGTTTCGCAGCCAAGTTTAACTGTGGAAATGTCATCTGCACATTGGGACGACTTTCGCATGTATGGAGCCGTTAAACCCTAAGCGTCACAGTGTTACACGACACATCTCATTATTTTCTTCTTACCTCCCCATGTCTTCTACATTCTTGCACAGCGTCTATGGCATCGGAATGTGTACCTTAGTATCTCAAGAAGTATCGCGATGGGTACGCTATCGGCGCACGCAACACTTAGTTCCCCATGCAGAACGAGCATGTGCCAAACACGTGATATCCCCTGAATCGTGCTGAATGCCAGTGGTTATTTAGCCAGCCACTTGGCTGGAATTTCATGATCTTTGAGATCGTGTTTTTTGAACCACATTCATTTAAGCAAGGTGAGAAACAAAGTGTGATCTTAGAATAGTAAATATGTCTTCCATAATAAGTTATGTCGCATGTATCGAGAAACATCACATAGTCTTGTCAGCGCTTTTGCATCCAAAATCAAATATGCACTCACCTGGGGAACAGGCAATCATAGGGCAGCAAGACGAACCATCCGGCCTGAAAGAGCGGCAGCACTCGATGCAACACATATTATGCCTCTAAAACGACTTTGATGACATCGATAGGATGCAGGGAGATACTGGTATGTTGCTTTCGCCATACTTTTGAGTGTGAGCTGCGTTTTCTCTCACAGACAATGTCAGCATTGAGGTGCTATCGCACAAATCATGAACAAAGATCCAACAGATCCATGGCACGACGATTCGCTTCATGTTATCTATACGTATATATATATATATATATATATATATATATATCTACATACTATAGCTATACTATATAGCGTTGCAACGGGATTCGTAAGGACACTGTTGTTTGTGCGCTGTGTGAAAATTGAGCCAAGGGTGTGAAACAAACGCCTTGCTTGTCATGAGAGCGAGCCGACGTTATCCGGTTTCAAAACTTGTAAATGAAAAAAATACTAACATGATTTCTCAGCCCACCTGAGGGTAGTAGTTCACCATAAGCGTCACAGTGTAACACGACACAAATCTTTTTTGTCTTTTCTTCCTCACCATGTCTTCTACATTTTCGCACAGCGTCCACGGCATCGGGATGTGTACCTTGGTAGCTCACAAAGTATCGCGATGGGTACGCTGTCAGCGCACGAAACCCTCATGCAATACGAAACATATGCGAAACTCGCATGTATGGGAAAACATCACCAAAAGCACCACGTGATCTTGTCAGCGCTTTTGTCTCCAAAATAAGATGTGTACTCACCTGGGGAATAGATAATTACAGGGCAGCAAGAAGAACCATCTGGCCTGAAAACGCGACAGCACTCGATGCGACACGTGACAAGCTTCTAAATCCACTTTGATGACATTAACAGGATGCGAGGAGCTACTGGTATGTTGTCTTTGCCATCCTTTTGAGCGTAAGCTGCGTTTTCTCTCATAGACGATGTCAACGATGATCCTTGACGATGTTAAGGATCCAACAGATCCATGGCACGACGATTCGCTGTATACTGTCCTTTAACTGTATATATATATATATATATATATATATATATATATATATTTACATACTATATCTACACTATATAGCGTTGCAACGGGATTAGTACGTGCACTGTTTGTGCGCTGTGTGAAAATGGAGCGAAGAGTGTGAAACAAACACGGGGCCTTACTTGTCTTGAGACGAAGCCGGCGTTATCCGGTTTTAAAGCTTGTGAAAGTAAAAAAAGGTACAAATGTGATTTGTCAGCTGACCTGAGGGTAGTATCAAACGACCAATGCCCCTTTAAGGCATAAGTTAGCCCCCCCCCCCCTCCCTTCCCCGTCGCCTCATTGCACACGTAACGTAATATATGGGCGGCCCCGTCAGCAAGTGAACAAGATGAAGATAGTAGCATAATGTGCAAAGCACCACGTGATTGCTAACTTGTGCATGATTCCAGTGCCGAACGATGCATCCTGCACTCCGAATTCATGCATCTAAATGCCCGGTTAAAGACATCATCGCACTTCGTCATCTGGGAGCAATTCGGGAAATGGTTGAAAATCTTAGGCATCTTGAAATAAAGCGTGTATTTGTCAGATAAGGCAGCGTAAGGCGATTGCAGATCAAGCCAGATAAAAAAGCAGCGCGCCCAAACCCCCAGAGGGAAGCATCGATGCTGCCGACTAGTCCTACAATACCAAGCAAAGCAAAGAAATTCTGTGTTAGGTGACAGCAGCCCACAGCCTCTGGAGCACTCGGTGGCGTTCTCAAAAGAGGCCAAGTTACAGCCTCCATCCTGGTCACATCACATTCTACTCAAGCCGCACACTTCAACATCGTCCAGCCGACCACCCCGCCGGGTCAGAGTTCCTAGCGTCCGTCGGTCGAACGCTTCAGAAATAAAGGGACGCTTCAGAAACACAGGCACGCTTCAGCAATGCAGGCACACTTCAGAAACACGGGCATGATTCAGCAACACAAAGACACTTAGAAAACACAGGGCGCTCGAGAAACGCAAAGACGCCGAATGCACAGGTGCTCATCGCATCACACAAGGACTCCTAAATATTACACACAGTGACACTTCGGCATCGCATAGGGACTCTTAAGCATTAATAAAAGCACGCTACATCGCCGCACGAGGATGCCTCTGCACTGAACAGGGACGTTCCAGCGCAGCATCACGCTTTATTGCAGCAGTGCTCCTGCCGCCCCCCCCCCCCCGCCACCCTATCGTCAGGTGGTCAGTTCTTCGCCACCGTGCAGCCGATCCAGTCGAGAAAGCTCTCCACATGGGTGTAGATACCCGGTAAGTTGGCGTTGCCGCAGCCGAAGCCGAAGGAGACGACGCCCGCGACGTACGAGGTTTCCTGGTTCCTGTGGTTCCGACGCTCTATCAGAGGACCCCCACTGTCGCCCTGCCGACGCCAGAGTGTCAGACGTCAGACGGACCGAGTTCGCCGACCGGTGACCGGGGTATCATGTCACAGCCGAAGCACGAGAGCACAGCAGAATTAGCGCACGTTTGTTGGCATTTCAGAATACCAGAAGCTGTCAAGTGGTACATGCGAGCCAGCGAAGTATCATAAAATGTTTTAATGGAGTGTTTCACATTTGTATGGGGCTTTAAACTGAGATGACAATGTCAAAGATGATTTGCTGGGGTTCACAGCCATGCCCTTCTTGAGGCATAAAACCATATGGAGCCTAGCTAGGCCCTCGGTTTGTCATAGTATGTTGGCACGTGCAGCCCTCAAACAAAAGGCATCCTGGCCTGTTTTTGCACCCACCCTGCAGGTGTCGACTACGCCGAGGTCGTTCTCGCCGTTGGCGCAGATTTGCGTGTTGTCCACGGCCGTGTTCTGGCGGGAGTACGCCTCCTGGCACTGAGCGTGGCGCGTGACGTTGATACGGGCCCACTGCATCTGGGCCACGGTGGGCCCAACTGCAATGCATGCGACGTGGCTGCGTAAGTTTTGACCCGTTGGTAACATTCGTGTGCATTGTGAAGACGGTTTCGGGCAAAACCCCCTTATGTGCAGTCGTAAGCCGTTCCAAGAAGTTTTTTACTCGCAAAAGCCATTCAAACGAAAAATGTGCTGTGAGCAGAAGATTTAGCATCAATACTTGTGCACCATCTTCCGAAAAGCTCATGCCCCAAGCATTGCACAAGGAAAAAGGCTGAAAAATGACCCGCGAGCAAAACTGCAATGATCTGCTACACGGACGGCGGCAGGTTTCCGAGCCTGCGCTGGCAACGTCTGCTGGGCCACCGCATTCAGCATGGTGAATACATTATTAAATCTGTGGCAGCGATAAGTAGTCGTTTTTTGCCAAGGTTTTACCGCCAAGCTTTTCGAGTCCCAAAATCTGCAAAGCTTTTACGCATGCTCTACCCAAAGACTTGGCTTTCCACAAGCTGAGCGCCTTTTAATCATCTATCGCCACCTTCAGCAGCATTGGGATGACAGTGTTGCCAGTCGGCTGTCGGAGCCTTTCGTGAGCACGCCCAGCCGGCCCGGCGGCACAGCATGCCGATCCTGCCGTGTCGCGGCGCGACCTCGGCCGCGCGGTGGACTGCGACCTACCGCCGCGGGCGCTGACCGCCGTCCCGCGGCGGACCGTAGGGGACGCGTGATAGGTGCGTATATGCGAGCTTACTTATGAGTGGAAGTTCACCCGAGCTAAAGTTTTGTCGTGCCTGGCTGGGATAGCAGGAACAGCACGCCACTGGACTTGGTCCAATACGGATCGCCGCGTCGCTACACGTCTCTCTCTCTGATCAAGCTGAGCCGAACCGCTGGACGAAGACATCACAGAGACGGGCTACATGAAATGTTCGAATCAGAACAGCGGTCTTTCCTCGCCTAGAGATTACACCGTGCACCTGCGCCAGGCGGAAAATCGAACCTCAGATCAGGTGGCGCTCGAGATCCACTCTGAGCACCTTCCTCCGGCTGGTTATCAAACCAGGACCCCGTGCTCTGTTCCGCCCTTAACCACGGCATCTGCCGGCACCTCCATGCCCGGCTGCAGTGGGCCATCGCTCACCGAACTCGGTCGCGCCCCAGCCGGCGACGTAGACCTGCTGGCCGTCCAGGTCGGAGGCGGGGCGGGAGGAATCGGAGATGCACAGCGGCTTCATCACGGCTGTAGGCGGAGAGATCGATTGCAAAAAGCTATCGATGCTCGATGATGCAGACCGCAGCCATCGGTCCTACTATCAGCAGGCGTGACTCAAATCAGGGTCAGCATAGACAGAGACCAGCGACGACTAAGAAAATGTCTAAACGGAGCGTTTATGAATATGGCGGAAATTTGATATAATATATGCAGATATATATATATATATATATATATATATATATATATATATATATATATATATATATATATATGCCTGACACACACGGCGCTGAATGCGATATATATATATATATATCAATGTACAAAATTTCTGAAATTAACATACCCAAGCTAGTCAGAACCAGACAGAGGACATGCCTGACACACACGGCGCTGAATGCGACTAGGCCATGTACGTGCATCGAAAATTCCTAAGTAATATTCCTGCGCAACGCAAAATAAATGTTCAAAGATCACAGGTATGCTAGTGTAGAAATAGTAACTTGCTGAAAAACAGATGAGTCGACGCCTCTTTGTTTGCTTCAAACCCCCGACGGTACTATACTTGATTTACCAGCATGAAATAAAGGACATCAAAAAAGGAGATCGGGGCGCGGCACCTAGGCTTGAATAAACTTACCATGCGTGGCCGCAAGCTGAAAAACACGTTGGCAACTCCAAGAATATTAGCGGTAAGAAGTAGCAACGTTACCATGGTAAAGGGCGAACTCCCATCACCGATTTTTGGTAAGCTACTGCACACTTCTATCGAACACATGTGTTGACGCCGCTAATGTCGTGATCCTAGGATGAGAGCGCAATAGGCCATCCACAAAATGCAGTGTGGCGGAGAGAAAAATGCAGGGGGGGAAAGGGGGCAGGAAGGCCTCGACACCGAGGGCTAACAGATGGCATGAAGGGCAATAATGCTTATGTGGAGTAAAAGGGTGGAGAGGTGAGCAAAAACGTTTACAAATGAATGCCATTGCCGGACCACCGAAAGGTTTGCATAACAAGGTATGCTGCTCAAGAAAAGCTTGTTACCTGTCATACACGAATCTGTCATAAGTTGAAGGTCGTAATACCAGTATTGACTGCAATTGGCAAAAGTTGTCGAACTGTCTTTTAAATCAGCAGCCCCACTGAAATGTGGAAGTGATGTTCGCAACCAGGGTTTGAGATTACTTGTTCAGGGAGATAAGTTTCTGTGTGCGCTGGGTCGTCCAATTTGTGGCTGAAATGTGCTAACTAGGATTACTTGAATGAAACAATGGGCCACGCAATGCCAGCGCCCCCACCCACCCTGGAGCAGGCGTTATAGCTTAAGGATCCCCTTGGCTGTTTCTTGCGTGCAAATAGTGGGCTATTCAGTGAGGACTTACGGGATATCGAGATGCGCTCCGTAAGCTTGACGAGGGCAATGTCATTGAACAATCCTTGGCCGTTTCCTCTGAAAACCCGTTTATATTCCGGATGTTTTAAGGCTTTTTCCACATTGTACACTCTGGGCGGGTACTGGGTGCTTTCTTCTGTGGTGGTGGCAATGTTCAAGTCGCCCAGTAGCACCTTCACTCTGCAAAATAACAGGATTTGCGTGAGGATGCCGCATAACCTTTACGCAATGGTTGATATATGAAAAAGCACACATAGCAAGGGGCCGCACTGGACTACACATCGCTGGAAATAAAACCATGCTGTTTCCCGGTCATTCCTGTCGTCCACACGGTGTACGTCGAGGCTGGCATGCCAGCCCAGGCTCTCCGCCCGGAGTGACGTGCGCGGTGGCTTGGGCAAACTGACAGTGAGTTCGAACCCTCCTCAACGGGCTGTCGCTTCTCGAGAAAGGAAGTAATTACGTAACCACGCGACGACGGTGTATGCAAATGTGTGTTAAGCTCAAATAGGATCCTCCGCAATGCCCAGCTCTAGCCTCTCGGTCAGTCAAAGAGAGCCGCCACAAAGTGAGCTCAGATCCTGCACTTTAGTCTTCGGGCCGCCACATCGACGTGGGGCGTTTTGGATGTTAGTGACTAAAGGACTCTAATGACACTGACCTGTTTACTGTCCCTGACTTGTATGCTGGCAGAAAGGTATCAGAAAAGAAAATGTTGGAAGCACAAATTTTGGGCGCTCACCATATCAGGTAGGTAGAAAGGTGAGGGATTGACGAAAAAGAAGGCGAAAGCCCCCGCACCCACCCCAGACATGGCTGTCCCATCACTGTCGCTGCAGGTGCTGGACGAAGGGTTCCAAACTTTATGCCAATTTGACGTTGATTCCGCCATCTGGCGTTAATATGGTTGAATGGCGCTCAATAGATGGAACGCGGTTAAAGGCACCAAGAGGTGTGAGACTGATGGCATTAAACGGTCTGACGGCATTTTTCACACGGAGGGCTTCGAAAAGTTTCTGTCAGCACTCTTCCATCTGCGCAGAATCCTGACGTGTAGATGGTTGGTAAGCGGTTCGTTTGGGTCGCTGACGGACGGATGGCCGTCGAGAGGTGTGCACACGATTTGGTTCGCGACAGTCTCCAGATACCCGATAAAAAACAAGCACACGCCTTGTTTCGTGCCGCCAATAAAAATGTGTTGGTCAAAGTCGCACAGCATCAGATATAAAGCGTTTTTGGTCGCATATAGATCTTCCAGTCCGGCGTTAAAGGTGGCGCATGATATATATCCAGATGAAGAACGAGGTCGCTACAGGGCAGAACGGCGCAAATATTTCTGCACGCATTTCGGCTGGTCCCTGGGGTCTAGGCTTGAAACACAGATGAGCGTATGGCTCCTTGCACCTGTTCCTTTAAACGGTCACCAATAAATGCTAGTGTTGGCATTTGATGATCTGGTCTCAAGGGGCGGCTGTTGTTTGCTTTCCACAGTCGCTTCGGCGCCGTAGTATCTCATGGGCCAGCCAAGTGACGTCATGTCGTCTCAGTCACGTGACACAGCTGATGGCATTAACGTTTTTCCTGAAAAGCTCCATAATTATGGGGACGCCTCTTTACAGCGCAGCTCCGTCAGGTGACATGGCGATGGATCGAAAAGTCTAGAATTTCATTTTTAAAGTTTTTGTTTTCTGGGCGGACTGTGCTGGCGTAAACGACAGTGTAATCGTTTCGGTCATCGGTTCAATGAACCGTTCTCGTTGCAGCTGTCAGCACTTTGAACTGTTCTAAAAGTGTCAAAAATGGTATGCCTTTCTGGTTGGACGCTGCGCAACATCATCATTTCATCCACTTGCGCATCACCACTACCGTTACTCAGCTGCTCATCATACACTGGCACGCTCTACTCTATTCACGCATCACGACTGGGAGGCAGACTGGAGGCAAGCTTTGGACCTGCAGTCCAACGCCGGCGGCAGACTGAAGGCAAGCGTTGGACCTGCAGTCCAAGGCCGGCGGCAGACTGGAGGCAAGCTTTGGACCTCCAGTTCAACGCCGGCAGCGGCAGGGGTATGACAGATTGGTCGCGTCATTTTCCTCTTTTCCCTTCCCCTCTCTGACCACCTGATCATGAGGAACGCCGAAAATTCTTGTCCATTTGTCTCCTGATCATAATCTAGCATCCATCAAGTCTTAAACATCATGAAATACTTGAATAGCGTAACATATGTTCCCGGGGCAAGCTCCAACCAGCGAGAGCTAAACTACAACCAAGCATTAAGCATAGGAAATCAGCCATTCGGAAAACATCTTATTCGACTTGCTTCCTAACCAAAATAACGCCCATAAAGCGTTTTTGACGTCCAACTCACGGGCCGGCGCTTTTGATGCAGTGCGCGGCTGTGAGTATCCAGCGGTCGTTGATGATGGCGCCTCCGCACCGGTTGATCGGCTCAGACGAGTATTGGAGCAGCGCCATCCAGGGGAAGTCAGTCACGCTCTTCACCGGAATGCCGTTGACGACGCGCGGGGGTGTGAAGGAGGACAGACCACATCCACGTGGCGAGACGAAGCGCCCACACAGCTTCTGTTCGCCGCAGCA